AAGCCTCTGGGCCTGAAAGGCCCAGAAATAGGCTGAAAACGGAGTAGGGCCTGCAGGCCCTCGTTTTTCAGTTTCAGGCTGAAACGACCGGGGCCCGTAAGCCCTATTTCTTAGGCTTTTAGGCTGAAAGTGCGGGACGGGCCCTGCATGGCTACGCAGTATGCCACAGCCTTGCCCATGAGGCAGCGGCCTCTGGCATGCAGGAGGCGCCTTACCGTAGTGTATAGGAGGGGTAGGAGAGCAAAAACTACTTATAAACTAGGCAGCAGATCCGGATATCTGACAGACCAGTTTTATCTGGAATTTTCAATCCGGATGAAATTTCCGGATAAGTTCCGGATACTGAAATCCGGCCCTGCGCGAAATGCCTTTTTTTAACCAAAAAAATAAAAAATCGAAAAAATCTGGAAAAAAAGTATGTTGCTCATATCAATGATACGAACAACTTTTCGCTTGAGGCCATCTTTGATATTTCAACAGATAAAACAGAAAAGGAAAATAATATTTAGATACGATCTAGGCTACGATCCGGGCCGCCCGGGCAGCAAAACCTTGCCCGGGTCCTGCCCGGCCTGCCCGGCGGGGCGACCGGACCGGTCGGAACCCCGGGCCACCCTGCGCGCACTTGGGGCAAAGCCTAAAATCGGGGTTGAAAAGGGGTGATGTGAAGGGGATGGTCCCCGATTGTGACCCTCCGTCGAAAAAAAAAATCAGGCCCCAGCAGACCCAATTTTTTTTGGCCATTGTAATATCGGCCGTTCATCCGCTCCGATCGACGGCCGAATCCGAATCGTGGTCCGTGTTCAAATTCGAATTCGAATTCGAATCCCAATTAGAACCCACGCGGCCCGCGCCGACGCACTCCCGAGCTGGTCTGGAGCAGCGTTCCCCGCCCCTCCTCGCTGTTGTCGGCTCCACCGTCATCCCCATCGCCACTGTGTCGCCGTCGCCATTGCTGGTGCCCACGTGCTACCCCGGAGCTGCTGCCACCGTCGTCTTCGTCGCCGTCGCTGGTGCCCACGTGCTACCCCGGAGCTGCTGCCACCGTCGTCGTCTTCGTCGCCGTCGCCAACCTTCACAGGAGGTACGTGCTCACCATCACCTCCTTCATGCCTCCTCCTCCTCCTCCTCCTCCTCCTCTTCCTCCTCTTCCTCCCCTTCCTCTTCCTCCTCTTCGTCATCGTCCACCTCCTCCTCCATCGCCTCCTCCTCCTCCTCCTCTTCCTCCTCCTCTTCCTCCTCCTCGTCCTTCTCCTCCTCCATAGCCTCCTCCTCCACCTCCTCTACCTCCACGCCGTCCTCCACGTCTTCCTCCTCCTCCTCTTCTTCCTCCTCTTCGTCCTCCTCCTCTAGTCTTCCTCCATGGCGTCTTTCTTCTCGTCTTCCTCTTCTTTCCCCCGTCTCTTCGTCCTCGTCTTCGTCGTCATTTTCATCCCCGTCTTCTCCCTGCTCCTCCTCCATAGCTTCCTCCTCCTCCTCTACGTCCTCCTCTTCCTCTTCATCTTTGTCCTCCTCCTCGTCGTCCTTCTCCACCATAGCCTCCTCCTCCTCTTGTAGGTAGTCGTCTTCCTCCTCGTCCACTACCTCCTCGTCTTCCCTCTCCTCCTCGTCCTCGTCTTCGTGTTTCCCCATCGCCTACGCTTCGTCCTCTTCGTCTTCTTCCTCCTCTTCCTGTCCTCCTTGTATTCCTCCTCCTCATCTTCATCCCCGTCTTCCTCCTGCTCCTCCTCCATAGCTTCCTCCTCCTCCTCTACGTCCTCCTCTTCCTCTTTGTCTTTGTCCTCCTCCTCATCGTCTTTCTCCACCATAGCCTCTTCCTCCTCTTGTAGCTCGTCGTCTTCCTCCTCGTCCACTACATGCTCGTCTTCCCTCTCCTCCTCATCCTCGTCCTCGTGTTTCCCCATCGCCTACTCTTCCTCCTCTTCCTCCTCCTCCTCCTCCTCCTCCTCCTCCTCCTCCTCGACGTCCTCCTTTTCCATCGCGTCCTCTTCCCCCTCGTAGTATTGATCTTTTTCCTTTTCCTCCTCCTCCTCCTCCTCCTCCTCCTCGACGTGCTTTTTTTCCATCGCGTCCTCTTCCTCCTCCTCCTCCTCCTCCTCCTCCTCCTCCTCTCGTTCGTCTTCGTACTCAACCTCCTCCGCCGCGTGTCTCCACGTCGGCCCCCTTTTCCTTTTTTTTTTATTTCTTTTGCTAAATTGAAATGTTGTTCTGTGCGGTCACGAGTATGCTGTTGTAGGTTTCCTTGTAGTTTCCTCTTTATCAATCAATCAATCAATCAATCGTCGCTCGTCGATTCGTCGACACGTGTCGACGAATTGACGAGCGACGATTGATTGATTGATTGATTGATTGATATTTAGAAGCCAAAAAAAAAAAAGGCTGACGTGGCAGCACTGTCAGTGATCATGGTTGCTGTTTCGCCATTCATATCTGCCATTTCGTTTCTGCTTTCCCGTTCGATTTTCATATCTGCTATTTAGGTCGACCGTCAATCAATCAATCAATCAATCAATCAATCAATCAATCAATAATCGCTCGTCGATCGAGCGATTATTGTTTGATTGATTGATTGATTGATTGATTGATTGATTACTGAAAGTTGAGTTCCAACTTCTAGCCTCTAGGCTTAGTACGAGTCACGTTTCTGCTCTTTGGTTCGCCGTGTGTGCAAGTGCTGTTCTAGGCTAAGTAGCAGTCGCGTTTCTACTTTCTCATTCGAGTTTCAGTGGACTTGTGATTCTCGTATTGAAAAATAATAATGGACGGCGACGGAAACAGAAGTGGCGGGCGGAAACAAAGGAGGGGGGAGGAAGGAGGAGGAGGAAGGGAGGAAGATGAGCGAGAGCGTTGGAAGGATGGGACGACGAGGAGTAGGAGGAGAGAACGAGTGTTGAACGAGGGTTGAACGAAGAGGAGAAGGAGGGAGAAACGACGAGTGGGAGGGAGAAACGAGTAGGGAGAAACAAGAAAGGAGGATGGATGACTGTTTGCGGAACAGGAGGGAGAAACGAGGACAAACAAGAAAGGAGAGGGGTACGTGGGCAGAAAGACGACGAGGGAGAAAAGAGGAGGGGGAGGGAGAGACGAGGAGGGAGAAAGGAGGAAGGAGGACAACTGAAAGACGAGGAGGGCGAAATGAGGAGGAAGAAGAAGGGAGAGAGGTGGAGGGAGAGAGCCGACGAGGAAGATAAGAGGAGGATGAAGAAGAAAGGACGACGACAGGGGAGAAAGTAGGAGAAAGAGAAGGCGATGGAGAAAGGAGGACGAGTATGGGGATAGAGAAACGAGGAGGACGAACAAGACAGGGGTTTGTGGCGAGATAAAGGAGGAGATTGAAGGAGGAGGACGGAGAAAGGAGGAGGAGGAGGAAACGGGGAGGAGGGAGAAACGTGGGCAGAAACGTGGGATGAAGAAACTTTGAGGAGGGAGAAAGGAGGAGGAGGGAGAAACGTGGGATGGAGAAAGGAGGAGGAGGGAGAAAGGAGGACGACGAACAAGACACCGGTTTGTGGCGAGATAAAGGA